CTATAAAAAATGTTGTTTGAAGCCAGAAATTCATAAAATGTACTTTTTTTGTTGTTGTACATCTTAAGTAAAAAATTAAAATGCATTGATCAACTAATAATGACTCCTACTGATAGTAAAACAAATGTGAATAAACATGAATGTAAAAGGTGCATCCAGAAAGTATCCCTAAGTTGCCAAAAAGGGTAAACACAATGTTATGAAAAAACTTCAGATACAACATTTGGTGCACTATTTTTCCACATAATGACTACCACAATCCATCATACTGAGAGATTGACATTTGCATCCCTGTCTCAAGCAAGTCTACTGTCTGGAATAGGTACCTTTGTTTGTACAACTCAGTGTCTGTGTGATAGGTATAATGCTGAATGGAAAGGAGTTTCTCAAGTTGTAAGTAAAGATGGAAATCGCTGGAGGCAATCAAACTATAGGGTGGATGGTCAATCACATCCACACGAAACTGCTGCAGATCTGTTGAAATGTTTTGTGACCAACCATATGATCATCCATCCAACAGTTAAGATCTTGACCCTAGTGATTTCAATCCTTTCTTACACATCATGAAATTCCTTTCTGGTCAGCATTATTTATTTATTTGTTTATCAAACAGGCTATTGCCCAATGCAAAATCATTACAAAAAAAAAACTAAAACAAAAATCTCACCATAACCAACTCCACATCAACTCTTCAAAACCACACAGTACACACTATCACATCATAAATAAAAAATGGAATAAAATAAAAAGTACAAAGTAACTTAAAATCATCACAACCCATATTTAAATATGATAATCACAAATTAACAAAACAAAAATTAAATGAAGTCAATCAACATCACTATTTTAGCTAATTTTTTGAAGGCACTTTTTGACAGATCAATATTATTGTTATTTGCTAACCTACAAATTCTGTTAATTCGAGCATTAAAAAACAAATTAGTTCGAGCGAATGGCAGTGCATAAACTTTGTCATCATTGTTCTGAGGCTTCTCGGAGGAACCTTCCAACGAACCTTAAGATTCTAATGTAGTGCAAACAACATTATTATTAAGGAAATTATAAAATAACAAAAAGTCATTTAAATCATGATAAGAGGGGAGAGAACTAATATTAAAAAATTTCCAACCTGTTTACAATCATGGGATTGCCTCGGCGATGGCAATTTGAACCTGTACGCAACAAAATTGGAGAAGTTATGCAGGATGGACTCAAGTTTTTTAATATAAATTTTATAAGAGGATGACCATACTGGAGAAGCATATAATAGAGCAGGTTTTATTAACAATACATATAATATTTTTAAAGTTTCAATATTTGAAAACTCTGTGATCACCATCATGAACCCAAGCATGCGATACGCTTTGCCTACTATGTATTGGATATGATTATCAAATCCAATAAGTTTGTGGTTAAAAATGACTTGCAGATCTTTAAAAGTAGAGATTGAATTTAACAAATGACCAATCCATTTCACGTATTCATAATGAACAACATTACTCCCTCGAGAGTATGTCAACACTGTATTTGTTGTAATTTAAATATAATCCATTATTCACGCACTGCAAAACAAGAGAATCCGAGTTTAACTGAAGAGCAGCACAATCATTAAAACTTGTTGACTTCTGTATACAAGTCATCAGCAAAGAATAAAAATAAACTAGTGGAGAAACAATACTTTATATCATTAATAAACAATAGAAAAAGTAAGAGTCCTAAATGGGATCCATGAGGTACTCCAGATGTTGCATGTATATCCCTAAAAATAAAAGACTTGTATTTTACTTTTTGTATCCTGTCTCTCAAATGACTACCGATCCATGTCAGAGAAATGCCTTGGATACCTATGTATTGATGTTTTAATAATAAAATGCTATGATCAACAGAATCAAACACTTCAGCAAAATATGTGTACAACATCAACCTTGGATATTTCTTCTAATTCCTCCATAATATATTGCTGTAAAGTTATCAAATTTGTAGTCGTTAATATTTTCATCCTAAAACCATGATGCTATTCAATCAATACTGGGCCTACCTGTTTCTTCAGCTTCTCAGTGACAATAGCCTCAAACAATTTTGGTATAACACTCATTTTACAATGGTCTGTAATTTACATTCTGCGCTCTATTCCCAGATTTGATTATTGGAGTAACATAACTATATTTACATACTGATGGAAAAACATCTTCTGTATGGATTTATGATAATAAATTGTAAAACTGGTACTAGGGAAATGTTGCCATTACCAAAGAACGTGGGGAAATACCATCCGACCCTGGTTCGGTCTTCATATCCAATTTCTTGATTGCCATATATACATCATATTGGCTAATATACATGGTTCTTATATTTATAACAGAATTTTCATAGTGATTATTCAAAGCTACGTGTGATGACTGAGGGATAAACACTGATTCAAAAATGTCAGCAAATAAATCAACTATTTCATACCCATTATCAGCCTCTTTTTCATTAAAAAAACAAAAAATTCCATGACCGTTTTGTATTCCTCAAAAAAATTGTTAATTTCCAAAATTATTTAACATTATACTTAATTCGGTTCTTAATCACATTAATGTACTTCGTATTATCTTTAGTAGATTTTCTTTTGCATAATTTTCTAACAGTAGAAAACTAAATAATCTGAATCATTAAAACCATTTTTAAATTTCACATGTGCATATTATTTCAATTTCAGTAATTTAGAGTACCAAGATGAATATGTAGATTTCAGTATGATTTACTTAGGAACATATTTGTCAAGAAGATCAAGAATTTTCTGATAAAAGTGAACAATACTTAACTCTGGTGTTCAAGGACCGGATGATAATCATCACAATTTACTAGTAGACAATCTACTTTCCGTATTCAACTTCCAATATCATTCAATAAAATCAGATCTAAACTCTTATATTTATTCAAAATATCATTTAATTGATAAAGAGTCAGGTAATTAAGTGTTTGAAAGTAATGTACTTCATTGTATTTCAATGTTAGAAGAATCATTGAAAAAGCAAGAAGTTTCTGTCACAGTATTTAGCCAAGATGTTTTAGGTAAATTATAATCACCAGTTACTAAAAATCGAGATGTGGGATAAGTTTCAAAAATTTTGTTCCAAACATCCATTATATTGTTCATAAATTTTCAATGAAGTTTTTTGTGGAAAGTATAATGTACTCACAATCATATAACAATTTTCAACCTTGATTAATACAAACAATAATATCTAACATTAATAACATTAAAGAGTATTACAGTGATGCAGAGTTATAGGTGTTGTGCCAAACACAGGTTCATATTCCAGCCAGCAGGTTTTTACAACATAGGGAGACAAACATTGAGCCCACTATGTAATAAATGTCTCAATTCTGGTGGTAAATATAAAAAATTGTGCAAAATATATTGTATGTGCTACAATAAGGTTTTGCCAAGAAATTGTGTTTTCATTTTATTGACGACTTAGAGAAACCTAGTTTCTGGATGTGCATCATATAATTATTGAAAATCATATTGAAAGGCCTAAAGCAACGTTATGTATGCCATTAAGTTCATTAATATTCCAACATTTTGATGTACCAGTAAATGTAGAGATGGGATTGTCGTTTGGAATTAACAGACATTGTTTAAATAAATCGTAATTAAATTCTAGAATTTTTATCAGCCATTGTTTCTTAAAAATGTCATTCATTTATGATAATCAGAAATTGATAGTAACTCATTACATAAATGATTTTGATGAAATAATAAATTTGAATATGTGATACATCCTATCGGATGCATATCTGGGCAGATTTAGAACTCCACAGGGTATTACTGTTACAAGTACAAAAGTTCAGAAATTCTTGACATTGTCCTGCACCATAAATGCAATGGGTAGCAGCAATTGGAAATCTTCAAACTAAATAGAATTTGAACCCGTGCATTCTGTCCTAGAATGCAGGTTTTCCCTCACTGGTGAGCTGAAGAATTCACAGAAGTCATTTTTGAAACCTCTAACGTAAACATTTTTGTCGAAGAGGAGAGATATGCTGAACACTGAAATTATTCAATGATCTGAAATTTAATCATAATGATTTAACATGAACATCGGTGCTTTTTAATTTAAACCAGTAAATGTTTCTAAAATTCTCAATGAATCAAATTGAATTTGTTTATTTGCTAATATACTGAAAGAATAAGTATTTTGAAAAAAAGGCACAGTTGTAAAAAAATTAAAATAAGCAGGGGGAAAAATGTAATCAATATTCAAAATTGGTGGGGGATAAGCAAAGAAATATTTCATTGCACTTTTATCTATACTGCCATATATGCAACTCTGCCCCTGGCAGGAATTTGCTGTTGATTCATATTTCAGGCACATATACCAAAAAACGTTAAATACCTATTTATTCTAAGAAACATGTTTTCCTTAACATCTGATGTCCTATAATAAGCATCATTGCTATCTTTCAGAATACTGTTTTCTCATTGATGAATTAAATTACATAATTTGTGAAGAAATGTTACTTCCTATCACTTCTATCATATTCCTTCATACCTACTACATTATATTTGTTCATACCTATTCTCTTCATTTGAGTAGTATACGATGTTTGAGAGACAAAAAAAAAAAAAGGTAGTAGGTCAAGCTGCCTTCAAAACATAGTAAATGATGCTGATGATGTGATGAAATAAACATTTCAATGAAAGAAAATTATGATGAAAAGCTTCTTCTATCCTATCAGGCCCATTGCAAGCTCCAAATTAAGTTATTTGTTTCGCAACCACAAAGAGTTTAGGTTAAGCATGCTCAAACGTGGCATATTTGATTCATAAAAATTCTTCACACAACTGATGCAAAACAAAAGGAAGTATTGGAGCATTCGTGGGAAATGATAGAAAAATGGGAATGGGAATCATTATTTCAAGAGAATGCTTATAGAACTTGAAAAGTATTTAATTGAGTATAATTTGAAAGGTATATTAGAGATTAACTTTAACACTTAATATAAATAACTAGTTTCTTTTACATTCTGAAACAAACAAAAAATCTTGCTATACAGTAGAAAAACAGGAATAAACATTAATTTCATTGAAATTTATATAAGGTTCCATGACAGATATTGTTCCAAATTGTAGAACATATTTAGTTTCAAGATTTTTATTCACTTAGTGAATAATTTTATAGGTCAAAATATGTAATAGTTCGTCAATTATTAGTTATCTGCTTATCCTCACAAAATTATACCTTGTAAATATGTTTATTGTTTAATCCATTCAGCATTCATTTCTAGTTAATTCGATATGTCATTGCTATTTTGAAAGGAGTAGATGTTTAGCCAAGCTTCATAAATGGGACGGAACATCAGAATATTGTTCCTACCTTGTGCGTTGAGAATAACCACACCAGTTGGTGAACTATATGAGTGGCTGGAACAAGACTCAGGCCAAAATACAATCCATGCCAAAAGCTTTCAAGTTGCATGGTCTGGTCTTCAAGAACACCTAGAATGTTCATAGATATATTCTAAAAATTACATTCCATACATATTAATTTGCATAACACCACTTAACAACATGGAAACATTGATTAAGAGTTTCAGTTGTAGGTCTTTCAACCGGAATTATAATTGTAGTAACCATTTAATTATTGAAGTCACAATAGGAAACTTAAGACTTACCAGGAGCGCATAAGTGATGTAGCATTTAAAAGTTATTTTGTTTCTTTTTTTAAATTGACAAATTTCTTTTTTTATTATCTAACCTAAAGATACTTTTTTACAATTTTTCTGCAGTTTCGTGAGCTTTACATATTACAAATATTGACTCTTGACTGTAATAGTTCTTAGAGAAGTTGTACATTCGGAGAAATATTGTTTAACACTTTCTACAATCGGTAATATTTTGTATCGCAATTCTTGATGATTGGATTGATTTATCTCCATCCAATTGGAGTCTCATTCCGATTCTCAAACTTGCGTGCTTGAATTAAATTCCAGTGTCTTCATTTCCAAGCCTTTCCTTCGGAAGTATTGAGATGTGTCAACACGTAATATTTCATGTATTCTTTCAAACTGAACAAATGTATTAATATTTCTTAATGTTAAACTTCGTAGCATTTTATCGCCAGCTTCTCTGTCGACTTGCGCCTCATACCAGTAGTTTACAATATTCCTGTTCTTGTTTTATGACATTTTTCTCAGAATTTCTCGCTCCTGTACAAAAATAACAAAAATCAGTATCGCAGTGTTCTTTGATTCCAATTAAGGTGAGATTCAATATTCATGAGATTCGCGCCATTGATCAGGAGGTTGCGATTGAAGTGTTAAGAGAAATTATCTTGTAACTCATTGGACAATGTATTTTAATGGTCAGGGTACGACTACAAGAGTTAAATTGAATTTCAAAATTCTTTTCCGAAAGAAACTCAGCTGTACTTACCACATCCCGTAAGTTAAACAATATTTGTTCATGTTTAAACTTTTTGTTTTATTCCTCTTGGGACGTAATGACGAAAATTGACATCGTACTCGTGCAAGCGCAGAGAGCAGATACTTCCAGAATTTAACAACTTAACATTTTTTAATTGCTACCAACAAGACAAATACTCAGTTTTATACTTACAAGTATATATTCATGGATAAAGTTGTTCAAAATGAATCGTGAATTTGTCTTTAGAAGCACTGGGAATTTCAACAGTTTTTTTGCCTGCATGCCCATTAGCTTTCGGAAATCGTCCGTGTCAAACTGCTAAACCTCTACTACAGAAAGGGAGGCCATGTTTTCACGTTTCGGGGTAGAAGTTGCTGTAAAAGTTTCTTAAAAATGTCGAGAAATTAAACCGTCATTCGTCCATTTAATTAGCAAATGGTCTCTGGACCAGAAAGGACAAACAAAAAACCTGCGCACATCCATGTTTCTCTCAGGTAGAATTTGCATTACGTGGGGTATGCTACATTAATAATTTATGAAGGTCGTGCTCTTTTATTTATATTTATGTAGCACCACAAACAGTTAAAAACTGTGACGTACTATAGCGAGAAGTGCATGTTCTCTTAAATTTTGGCTTTTCTGCTCTTAGGGCCAGTTTCACCAGCAGCCGACTAAAGTTGAGAGTAGTTATCCGAGAGTAACCGAGATAGTAACTCTCGAGTAGAATATGAGCGTTTCACCATGCTTCTAGAGGGATATTTTACTCTTGAGTACATACTCTCCGTTTACTCTGCAAATCAGCTGAACACACAATATTTGAGAGCGATTCAAGAGGCTGTGAACGAGAATGACGCTGGGAACCAATGCGGACCAACGTGAACCTTTGATTAATTCCTTATATTCTATCATTCATTTCAGTTTCGGAGTTCTTGGCGTTATAATCTGGTGTGGTGTTATGGTGGTTTGAGTTAGCATAGTTTATTTCCTAGTTTCTGTATCTTTATTTCTTAATAAATATTCATTCTTCTTCTTTGAAAACGAGTTACTGTTTTGTTAGCAATGCAGAAAAATTAAATTTGCTGTTCGTTTCAAACTCGTTTACCGATGGCGGTGCAAATTAATTTTCTATAAGTAGGGAACGAAAATGTTTAGTTTCTCAAATGTTGCTGATCTCGTGTTTTTTTTAAGTTTTATTATTATTATTATTATTATTATTATTATTATTATTATTATTATTATTATTATTATTTGATGTTTTATTTTTTAAACCTATATTCACCTTTCAATTATTTGTAGTTAAAATGTTGGAAAGGGATTCTGGAACTCAAGAAAACGTGCGCAAATGATTTATGCCATACGTCACATTCAGTTTTTACTAAATAAATAAATATTTCTTAGTACTTGTAGTCCCTGTATTTTTCCTTTTGTTGAACGTAATCCCTTCATTTCATATCCACATGGGCTAAAAATAAATTTACAAGTTCTCTACTGTTTACAATGTATCTGATGAAGTTAATAGCTAATTTGGTCAAACATAACCTCGTGACAAAATCTCGATCGTCATAATTAAAACCAACGCACCCTTTGTCTTCGCAATAGTGGATAATATTCCGAATCATTGCTGGAATCGTCTTCAAATACTATCATTCAAAATTGTCGAGCAGTAACAACACTTCGGAGGTACATGCACTTTGAAAACTGAATTTACGCCGTACTTTACCCGACGGATTTTCGCAGTGTAAAGTTACTCTCGTGTAAGCGATTTACACTGGAGTAAAGCGTTGGTGAAACGCTCCAAGAAGTTACTCTCGAGTAAACATGATTTACTCCAGAGTAAACTCTTACTCTTTGTTTGGTGAAACCGGCCCTAAATCACTACCACCAAAATGCTGCATAGCCGCACAAAACTTCGTGTATGTGTATTTAAATCACAATTAAGCCACCGAACATTATCAGTTATGGTTTCCAATGTTGCTGACATTTAACTACCTTATAAGGTTAAGTAAATATAAATAATTTTGTTAGTGGCTACCGTAACATAATGATAATACTCAGTTCTGCACCTGATGTTTGAAAGCCAGTAGAAAAGAATGTTTCCAAAAACAGAATTCTTTGTTAGTCAATTTCATTGGTCTTAAAAAGTTGAATTTTGTTAATAATTCGGATTTTTTAAAATGATAATTTCATTATTTTTTGCTTTATCGCCATACTACTTACGTAGTAGAAAATTATAAAGCTGCCTCAAAATTCGACGATTTTTCCTCAGAAAAACTCATATTGTGGGCCCTAATATCGGAAAAGTTGATAAATCTAGTTCCTTTATGTATTAAATTACTTCATATAACACGTGTAGTCAGAGTTCGTTTTGTAGAAACGTGATATCGAAAAATTGGTTGACGGCGAAACGTCCGCCCGCTGATACGTCAACACAACCGACCGAACCCAACCATGTCCGGTATTCTCCACTATTGATGTTCCCCAATCGATCCTGCAGAACTCGAGGCCCTACAAGATTGAAAAGAGTATTTTGACTTTTGGGGGTACTTTAAATGCTTTAACTACATTTTCAAAATTTTCTTTAAAACTACCCCGAACTTTTTCTTTAAATTTTTCCTCAGAGTAAAGGACGCTTAAAAATGGCACAGGTCTCATTTTCCTTGTACTTTCGAAACTTGATAAAACATGAGAACATTAATAATTGCAAAACTTCTTTGGATGCGATGAGATTTATTAATGGTAATATTTATTGGTGTATTCGTGGTATTGTCATACTTAATTTAGGACTATTCTACGACTGAAATTACATCCGAGTCCAGAAATGCACATCACCATGTGTTCCAATTTTTTTCCAAATGCACTAAAATATTGTTATTACTATTGAATAATTAAAAATAATGTGTGAAAACAGAAGTGTATAATGAAAATTAAAAATATGTCCCTTTTCCATTTGACAAAATAATTTTCTTAGAGGTATCCAAACAGCCGTATCGTGGGAGCAAGGCAGCGCCCCCTGGGAAGATAGCTTGCTGGCGTCAGCGTTTCCACACGTGGGTGTGAACAGCTTGGCTCAGATGATTTGTTTCGCACAAGGTATAAAGCTCTCGATACATCCCGAGAGAAACTGCTTTCCGACTCCTCTCTTGAGAGTTCTATTGTGTGAGTGCGAGTAGGGGGACGTCTTTCAAAATATGTCAATAATAATAATAATTATAATAATAATAACAATAACAACAATAATAAAAATTAAAAGCTATTGAATTCTAGGATGATATGTAAAGTATTGTGCGTCTTATGAATTTAGAAAAGGGCTAACACTTTTGTAGTGATGGAGATGATTTTGTTCATATTATCAGTCGGTGCTTTACAGATGGTGATGATGTATTTGATAGTAACTATGAGTTGGGTGAGTTTGCAGGTTTTGATGAATGAGATGGGTCAGTCGATTTTGGTAGCCATCGATGGTGATATTGTGGTGCAGTAGGTATTTAAGGGTTGATTTGATTTGTCCAGTATCTTGTCTGTGTGTCTCAATCACGTTAAGTCCAAGTCCTATGAAGGTGTTGCTGTCGGTTCTCTTTTTCACTTCAGAGAGATGAATTTTGAAAGAGAATTGAGAGAGGACAGTCGAGACTTCAGTGAGGGGAATGTTGGGGGATAGTCCTTGGTTAAGTTTCCAACTAGTTAAGTGTGTCGTTTGTCCGTTGTCTTGTGATGGTGGTAGTCAAGTTTACTGTCATAGTAGCGTGTACGTATGGAAGGGTCCAGTTCAATTGCTTCCAAGGCCTCAAGGATTTTCTTATGGGCGTCGGTTGTCTTGGCATGGAAGATAAGTTCGGTCCGGATACTCTTGGTGAAAAAGCAGTTAGGTAAGTGTCATTGCAGGTCAGTCAGAAGTTTAGTAGGGTATTTCAGTCCTTTGTTGTCGACATGGATTTCTATTTGAGGTCATCGCGTAGGTGTGTAGTTGGTCTCGAGCGCTCTGTTGGATTCGGTGTTGTCAGTCTTGCCTGGCTCAGTTTCTGGTGGTGTCAGTGGGCCGTAACGGTTGTCAGTAGGTATAGAGGTAGGAGCGTCAGGAGTAGTAGCTTTAGCCATGTGTTCTCTTTTTTCAACATAGAAGCCGTCATCAGTAGTAGCGGTCGCTTGGTTGGATGATGCTGTCAGGGGAGGGAAAGAAATGAGCTGGGGGCAGAGGAGTCAAGGAATAGCGCCACTCACCCTGTGCTACTCTGCTCCCTTGAGTGATGCTCTGACTGTTGCAGAGCCCTTGGAGATCTGCTATGCTACCTTTTCTCTTTTTTTAGCTACTAGCTAACACGTTGCTCTATAATAGAAACTCTGGCCACTTCTCTACGCCAGCGTACTCTCGGAGATACGAGGTATTATCGCCCGCAATGCGTTCCACAACACGCAAAACTGAGCACGTTCGACAACGGTCTTGTAGAGAGAGCGAGAAAAATCGTGTAGCCTGGTCTGAAATGGTTCACACACTACTAGTAGTAGTAATAATAATAATAATAATAATAATAATAATAATAATAATAATAATGGCACGCTTACTTTGAAACATATATTTATCTTTGCGTTGTCAAAACTGTGTGCATTCGTTGGTGATTAATATCAATTCTAGGAAAAACGCTTAATTCCATCTGTACTCAGATTTCAACTTGTTTATCTGTTAGTTATAGTATATCATACTCAGTTGATAAATAACTTTTAAGACAAATATACTAATTAAATGACTAATATTCTACGATTTGTAATATGAAGTTAATTTATGACC